GGGATCAACAGGGCGGGGCTAGCAGTTATGGCTGCTCTCAGTCTTGCCCTCAGAGGCTCTGCTTCTCAGTGTCCCGGTAATCACTGCTGCCCTCGAGTTCCGACCGATGCCAGACAGTCCCGCTTCTCCCGTATGAGTCTGGGTCCCCAGAGACTCGCCCGGAACTGGAGCTCAGAGCCTGAGACTCCCTCCCGATTGAAAAAGACAACCGTGCCCTCAGCTGCCAGCCCTCTCCGCATGCACCTCTGTACATTAGTATTTTACTTCCGCACCGCACCTCCTCTGAGTATGCTTTTCTCTTTCCTTCTAGTTGTAGAATTTCCACTCAGCCAGCCTTCCTGTAGTTCTGGGTGATGTCCGTTCCGTCTTTTAGTTGCATTTTTGAAGTGGTTGTGCGGGGCAGCAAACTCCGGTGTTTACCTATGCCGCCATCTTGGTTTCTCTAATCCATTGACATTTAAAGTAGTTGCCAAGCCCAGGCCCGGTGGCTCAGTTGGTTGGAGCATCCTCCCTTCACCAAAAGGTTGCAGGTTCGATCCCCAGTTGGGCGCATATGGGAGGCAACTGATTGATGTTTCTCTCACATAGATGTTTTTCTTTCTCTCTGTCTCTCTCCTGCTCTCTAAAATCAATTAAATATATATATATCCCTTGGGGGAAAAAAGGGAACACATGTAATACTTTCAACAATAAAGAATTATTAAAAACAAAACAAACAAAAAAACAATTCCTTAGGTGAGAATTATTTTTTAAGTTAAAAATAAGAATAAAGCCCAGTCAGAGTGGCTCAGTGGTTCAGCACTGACCAATGAACCAGGAGGTCATGGTTCGATTCCCGATCAAGGCACATGCCCGGGTTGCGGGCTCCATCCCTCTCTCTCATCATTGATGTTTCTATCTCTCTCTCCTTCTCCCTTTCTCTCTCTGAAACCAATAAAACATAAAAAATATTTTTTTAAAATAAAAAATAAAGTTAGCCCAGCTGGTGTGGTTCAGTGGTTCAGCATCGTCCCATGCACCAAGAAGTCACTGGTACAATTCCCAATCAGGGCACATGCCCAGGTTGTGGGCTCAATCCCCAGTAGGGGGCGTGCAGGAAGCAGCTTATTAATGTTACTCTCTCATCAGTGTTTCTCTCTATCCCTCTCCTCGCTCTAAAGTCAGTAAAAACATTTAATTAAAAAAGAAGAGTATGCAAAATAAATAATTATGACAAGCAAGGCCTTGCCTCTGTGAGTTTTCTTTTCCTATGTGTCTCATATCTTTTTGTTTCTCAATTCCTCCATTACAGCCTTTTTTAGTGTTTGTTTTTTCCACTGTGTCTTTTTGTTGTTGTTGTCAATCCTCACCCAAGGACAGGGAGAGACAAAGAAAGAGAAACATTGATGTGAAAGAGACACATAGATTGGTTGCCTCCTGCATGCACTCTGACCAGGGCTGAGGTACGCACCCTTGACTGGAGTTGAACCCAGGACCTTTCAGTCCACGGGCCAACGCTCTATCCACTGAGCCAAATCGGCTAGGTCCCCATTGTAACATTTTGATTCCTTTCTCCTTTTCTGCAAACACGGTGGGACAAAAGTAGGTTTACAGTTGCTTGTATGGAAAATAATACAATAATTAATAACTAATAATACAAGAATAAACTCTGTATTTCACATACTCACAACTCTAAACCTACTTTTGCCCCATAATAACATAGAATTCTGTGTTATTTTCTTAATGGTTACTCTCGGAATTGTGATTAACATTGTAAATTTACAACAATCTAGTTTGAATCAATACCGAGTTAGCATCAGTAGGACACAAAACAGCTACTATGCAGTCCCCTTTATGTTGTTACTGTTACAAATTACACCTTTATACATTGTGTGCCCAGAAATATAGATTTGTGGTTACTGCTTTATACATTTGTCTTTGAAATCATATAGGAAAAATAGTTGCAAACAAAAAATTTTAATACCGCTCTTCTGTTTGCCTCTGATTACCTCTCCCAGTGCTCATATGGCCTGAGTTACTGACCAGTGTCTGTCCTTTCATTCCAGTCTGAAGAATGCCCTGTAGCATTTCTCTTTTTAATTGATTTCAGAGAGGAAGGGAGAGGGAGAGTTAGAAACATCAATGATGAGAGAGTATCATTGATCAGCTGCCTCCTGCAGGCCCCCTACGGGGGATCGAGCCCGCAACCTGGGCATGTGGGCTGACCGGGAATTGAACCATGAACTCCTGGTTCATAGGTTGACATTCAATCACTGAGCAACGCCAGCCAGACTAGCGTTTCTTGTAGGCAAGTCTACCAGTGACAAACTCCCTCAGCTCTTGTTTACATGGGAATGTCTTCATTTCTCCTTCATTTCTGAAGGATAGTTTTGCCAGAAATATGATTCTTGTCTGACAGCATTTTTTTTCAAGACTTTAAATATGTCATCCCACTGCCTGTGGCTTCCATAGTTTCTGATGAGAAATCAGCTGTTAGTCTTACTGAGGATCCTCATTCCTGAAAAGCCACTTCCCTTGCTACCTTCCGATGCTGTCTTTGTCTTTGGGTCTTAGCAGTTTGTCTTGGTGTGGGGTCTCTTTTACTTTATACTACTTGGATGTATAGATTCATATCTCTCATCAAAGTTGGGAAGCTTTCAGCCATTATTCTTCAATTTTGCAAACATTATTTCTGTCCCTTTCTCTCCCTCTTTTTTTAGGATTCTATTATCCATATTTTGGTATATGGTGTATTTTAGTGTGCTTTGTAATTATTTTCTTGATAGCCAGACACAAAGTACTGGCTACAAAGAACTGTTATAAACAGGCCATTAGTGACATGGTGGTGAGTAGTGAAGGGAAGCTTTCTAATACCTATGAATAATTCTCTCTTCTCGTAAACCCAGGTCTCTGGTGACCTGCTTCATAGGTCAACGCTCAACCACTGAGCCCCACCGGCCGGACTCATTGCACTTTTTGTTAGGACAGAGGGATGACTTCCTCACTTCTTATATGCTAGACTGGTGACCAGAGTGTCCCACTGAGTGATTTCTCACTTCAGCATTGACTTTTCAGCCCTGGAATTTCTATTTGATTCCTTATATAATTTATACTTTTAAGACTCCCTATTTATTGAATCGTCATCATTACACTGTCATTTAATTCCTTTAGCGTACTTATACTCTCTACTTTGAAGTCTTTGTTAGATTCACCATCTTGGCCCACTCAGTCAGATCCTATCAACTGCTTTTTTTCCTTAATATGGGTCACACTTTTCTGTTGTTTTGCATGTCTTATAAATTTTTATTGAAAACTGGACATTTCAGATATATTTTAGCAACTCTGGATTCTGAATTGTTTTTCCCAATGTTTTATTTTAGTACATTTTCTGGACCTAACTTACAGTCTGCCCACCTGCCATAGTGTGCAGCCCCTGATGGCTCTGCTCAGATTTTAAATTTAATTTTACTTTTCAATCTGGCTTCCTAGGCAGCACTCTGCAGCTGAGTGGTCCGCCAGAACTTAGTCGGAGGCTGTGCTCAAACACTTCCTTCCCAGTCCATCTATGTGAGTTGGGAGTGTCATTCCTAGCTCAGCGCCCCCTCACCCCCACTTTTCCTTTGTCCTGGCACGTCTTAGAGCTCTTGATTCATGCGCACCATTCCATAGAGAGGATGTGCGCAGAGTGGAGCCCTCTGCGGCCCTTTCAGACCTGTCCGTTCTCTGGTAGTTTTGATTGGTTTCATCACTTTTAGCCACAAGGCCCTGGTTTTTACCGTCTTCCCCACTTCCACCCTCTGCGTCTGCTGCTTTGCAGGGGATGCTGCAGACACCCCCATCCAGGCATCACTGCTGCCGTCAACTTCCAGAGCTCAGAAGCGGTGCGTTTGGACAGTTTGCCCAGTGTTAGCCTTGTTCTCCTGTGGCAACGATTCAGTCACCTCTGCACCTGGCCAGCTGAACTCGGGGAATGCAGTCCTAAGAGCGTGTTCTCGGGTTCACATGTTTGAGACTCTGGCATGTGTTTCTGTGACTATTGTGAGGTGGTGATGGAGTTGTTTTTTTTAATTTTTAAATATATTTTGAAGGTGTTTATGTGTGTGTGTGTTTATTTATTTATTTTTTTATTTTTTTATTTTTATTTTTATTTTTTTCCCAGAGAGGAAGGGAGAGGGAGAGAGAGATAGAAACATCAATGATGAGAGAGAATCATCGATCAGCTGCCTCCTGCACGCCCCACACTGGGAATCGAGCCTGCAGCCTGGGCATGTGCCCTGACGGAATCAAACCGTGACCTCCTGGTTAGGTCGATGCTCAACCACTGAGCCACATTGGCTGGGCAAGTTTGTTTGTTTTTTTATATGAAAAAACAATTTTAAGTTGTTTCCTTATGAAACGCACAGTCCCTCTTTTCCTGACTTGTTTCCAACACTTCCTGTTAAATGTGAAGTTTTCTGTATGCGTGGAGCTCCCGTAGAGCTCTTTTCATTCCATCTGTCAATTTACCCCATTCTCTTAGGCTTCAATCCATTTTATGGATTTGCCATTAACTACTTCCCATGGTTGGAAATGTAGGCTATTTCTAAGTCTTTAGTATTCGGTTAACATCCCTATAGCTAAATCTTTGCATACTTCCATTATTTTTTTACAAAAATTTTTTGAAGTGCTTGCTAGGTTTAAGGAATGTACCAAATTTTAAGGTTTCTAATGTTGCTGAAGGTTCCTATAGAGAGGTTTAAGTGGTGGTGTCTGTGGATGTAGGCCTCTGTGTGCATGGAGGAGTCTGAAAGTGTGTGTGAGCCAGTGTGTGTGTGTCTCGAAGGCGGTATTTGATTGCATTCACCCGGGTTTAGTCCCCCCTTTTGAACAAGCGGTTTTGCTTCTCGGTTGATCAGGGCTTTTTAACCACAGACTCTACTGCTGTCCATTTGGGGCCCAGACTTGCAGCTGCTGGTGCCATTCGGCCATTGGCAGCTCCCTGGGTGCCTGAGGACAGCCAGGTGTGAGAAGAAGCTGCCCTGAGACCCTCTGTATCTGCCAGACAAACGCCTTCCACCTTTGGTTCCCTCTCCCTCTTTGTCACCACCAATTCCTGCCTCAAGAAACAGCCATGCCCAGCATGGGCTCCAGTCCTGGCTGCTCTGCTCTCGTGGGGTTAAAGCAGTTTCCTCTGGAAGTGATGGCACATAGGGGTAGATATGTGGTTGGTTTTCTCATGTCTTTATTTGGCAAAGTAAAGGTTGCAATCCTCACATTTCCTCCTCCTCCCCTCTCTCTCTCTCTCTCTCTCTCTCTCTCTCTCTCTCTCTCTCAGTTTTAGTTTTAATTTCACTGGTGCACTGATCTCTGAAAGTCAAGGCACCACTGTTATAAGTGGGTTGTGCTAATTGGTTTGGGGAGGACTCACCACATGAGCACACAAACACCTGCCCTGATTACCGGTTGCGTCTGGGGCTTTGTGTCTGGTGGAGGCGATGGGGCACGATGCCCGCCACACTGTCACCCTGGCCCAGAAAGCTGAGAGCAGGTTCATCCTCAGAGGGGCCATGTCCATCCCAAGAGCGAGAGTGAGACAGCACAAGTGTGTGCACGTGTGTGTATGGATGTGTACAAATGGTATGTATGTATGTGTGGACACGTGTTTGTGTGTGTTTTGTTTCCCTGTTTCTCCCTCCCTTGAGGGCTACGCCCAGATAGTTAGACTTGGTTCTCTGGGGTTCACATGCCCCCTGTGGGCTGTGTCTGAGCCCCGGCCCCTGCGGCCCTCTCTGCAGGTTCTCCCATGGGCAGGTGGTCCCTGTGGATGAGCTGCGCCCCTTCCAGGACCCGGACCTGAGCTCCCTGCAGGCTGGTTCTGCATGTCTGGCCAAGCAACCAGATGGTCTCTGGTACCCAGCACGGATCACTGGTGAGGCTGCCCATGGGCCTCCCTCAGGCCCTTCTGGAAGGTCCCTCCATTCCTCATTCGTGTTAATCCCCTATGACCACTCCTTTGGTTGGGTGTCAGGTCCCTGCTCTGTGCCCAAGAGGAGTGAGAGTGCCTCTGGCCTTGGCCCGTCTTGCTCCCAACTTCCAGTGAGTCTCCAACCACCTGTGAAGCCGCTGACCTGGTTGTCTTTGACCTTCCAGATATGGACAGCGGCTACTACACAGTCAAGTTTGACTCGCTGCTGTTGAAGGAGGCCGTTTTGGAGGGGGACAGCATCCTTCCCCCACTGCGCCCAGAGCCTGCAGTATCCTCTGACTCAGACAGTGGTGACCCGGACGATTCCAGCTATGCCAGAGGTACAGGGCAAGGAGCATCTTGGGCAGCAGTCTCCCTAGGAAGTTCCTGGCTGGTGGGGACCTTGACCACCTAAGCAGAAAGGCAGAGAGCATGACCGCGGGTGAGGGGGGCTCTGCCTAGTGCATGACGCACAGCAGGGGGCACTAGTTGGGCCTGGAGAGACAGGGAGGCCCCCACAGGAGGTGGGAGGATGAAAGCATGTGTGAGGGGTCTGGGCAGGTCCGCAAACCTGCAGACGCAAAGACCTGTCCCTTGTCATCAAGGAGTTGTGTGCAAACATGTCCCCCATGGTGCAACCTGAGGTTGGGCCACTGCTGGGGAGGCCCAGCTGAACAGAGAGCAGGAAGCAGCAGCTCCTTCTGGAGCTTCCGCTCGGGGTCTGGGGTCGAGTGGTGGATGGGGGGGTGTGTAGACAGCCATGGGCGGGGGAGCTTCAGTGTCCAGCCCCCTGAGGGGTCAGTGAGGAAGAAGACGGGAGGCATCCCTGTAGGGCTGTCCCATGTGTTGGTGGTTTCTGAAACCCCGTGTCCTTGGGATGGAGAGAGGACTGAGCTCTTGGGCTAACGCTGGCCAGAGCCCAGGTGTTCCCTGTGCAGCTGGGCCAAGTCCCTGCCCTGTTTCCTGCAGTGGTGGAACCCAGCGCCACCGACCACGGGGCCTGCAGCTCTGCCTTTGCGGGCTGGGAGGTGCACACGCGGGGCATCGGCTCCAGGCTGCTCGCCAAGATGGGCTATGAGTTTGGCAAGGGTGAGTGAGTGGGTGCTGCCCTGGGGAAGGGGCTGGGTTGCCTCTGCACAGTGCAGGGTGGTGGGAGTGGATCCAGCAGCAGTGCCAGCCCCTGTGCCCCCAGGTCTGGGCCGACACTCGGACGGCCGGGTGGAGCCCATCCACGCTGTGGTGCTGCCTCGAGGGAAGTCGCTGGACCAGTGTGCAGAGATCCTACAGAAGAGGACCAAGGGCAGCAAGGCTGGCACTAGTCAGGCCCCAAAATACCGGGGCAGAGGAGGCAGGCCTGGGGGCCGCCCGCCCCCTCGGAGCGTGTTTGACTTTTTGAATGAGAAGCTGCAGGGCCAGGCTCCTGGGACCCTGGAGGCAGGGGCTGCCACCCTTGGGAGGAGGAGTGGCAAGGAGCTGTACCATGCCAGCAAGGGCACCAAGAGGGCCCTGAGCCTGCGGCTCTTCCAGACCGAGGAGAAGATTGAGCAGGCCCAGCGGGACATCCGGGGCATCCAGGAGGCCCTCGCCCGCAACACTGGTCGGTATGTGTGGGGCTGAACTTGGGGCAGAGGATGGGCCCAGGGTGGCCATGCCTCCGGCCCTGCTCTGGGCGCCCAGTGCAGTTCATCTGCAGGATTTCGCCCTGACCTGAAGGTGGTGAGCTGGGTCTGAGGAGGGTCTGCATGGTGGGAGGATGCCTGGCAGGGGCCACAGCATCCTGGGGTCTTTGTAGCAGTGGCCCGGGAGCCCATGCTGAGTGGCAGCCTCTCTCTAGGCACAGCGTGACCGTGGCCCAGCTGCAGGAGAAGCTGGCAGGAGCCCAGCGGCAGCTGGGGCAGCTCCGGGCCCAGGAAGCGGGCCTGCAGCGGGAGCAGAGGAAGGCGGACACCCACAAGAAGATGACAGAGTTCTAGAGCCCAGCACGTGCCAGGGACAGGGCTCGGCTCCAGCTCCCACAGCTTCCGGAAGACCTGCTGTCCTCCAATAACTAGATGCCGACAGAAGAGAGGCCACCCCCAGACCAGACCTCACGGTCAGCCTATTGCCAGGCCGGGGTGTGCGGACATTGCTGAGTGGAGATTGGGTACAGGGGTCACGTCTTGATGCTCACGTGCCCTCAGAGCCCCCCTGCCAGTGTCTGCTTATCAAGGACATTAAAGTGACTTTGTCGCTGTCTTTTAGTGGTGGCGTTGCTGGCTGTGGTGTGTGGGGAGAGGTGTCTGTGCGTGGGGCAGTGGGGCTGGGCTGGAGGAGTCCCCAGTGAGCCCAGAGGCAGAGGGCCCAGGGGGACTGTCATCTTCCCTGGTCTCCCAGAGGGGTCCCCATGTGGCCCAACACACACAGACTGGGGGGGGGGGGGGGGGGGGGGGGGGGGGCTGCCAGCTCAGGCCCTCAGAGCACTGCTTACGGAGCAGGAGGGCCTGGCGGGTGGGTGTGAGAGCCTGGATTTACCCCCGGTGCTTGGTGGCCTGTCTCCTCCCAGTGTGTGCTCACCTCTTCGTGGGTGGAGACAGAGAGGTAGGCTCAAACCATGGGGGCTCGAAGCACACACCCACTGAGTGTTATCTGGGCCCCAGCTGGGGTGCAGCAGTTGGGTGAGGCTGCGGTGGTGGCAGCTGCTGCTGTTGGGGGTTGAGACGAAATCTGAGACACAGGCAGGAAGTGGGGGAGCTGCACACAGGCACCACTGCTCTGGGAGCTGCTGGCCTGCCCAGGTGGCTGAGGAGTGCCCTGTACCCGTGGCCCTGGTAAGTGCCTCCTCTGAACTCCAGCCTGGCCAGCTCTCCAGGCCTGTTGCTGCATGCCCTCCTGGGAGCACTTGAGGGCTGGGGCCTGGGAGGACTAGCCCCTACTAGGTCGCGCCACTGGGACTTCCTGTGGGGGAAGCCCACTCCCTGAGTCTGGGCAGACTCAGCCCCAAACCCCCATATCTGTGCCAGGCTTTGCGGATTGTAGAGTGGACCCCCATCCCCTGCAGCCCTGCTAAAGCCCCAGGAAGGAGACAGGTCCAGCAGCAGGAATGGAGGTGGGGGTGGAGAGCCAGGGAGAGGTGGGGGGAGGGTACTCAGTGCCCAAAGCAGCCCCTTTCTGCCAGCTGACCCCCACCTCTTCAGCCCCTCAGGGGGCCAAGCTGTGGTGAATGACTAAGGCATCACCTCAGACGGCCTTACCTGGGCAGGGCAGGGCTGCAGGTGAGTCTGTGGCCTGTGGCTTGAAGGCTCATGCGTGTGACCTCAGTGGCATCCCCAGGCCTCAGGTTTGGGTTGTAGTGACCACAGTGGAGCCGTGGCCAGGTTCTCTCTGGCCATGCTCTGCGGTCATGTGGGTTATCGTCACTGGCTTGGGCACACGTGAGGCCAGGAAGAGCACACATTCTCACACTGGCCAGGAGCCCCCAACCAGAGGCAGGAAAGGAAGGTGGGCGCTAGGCTGCGTCCTCCGCCTCTAGGAGGAGGGGCTGCTGAGCCTTGGGTTTCCTGTGTGCTGAGTCAGAGCTCCCAGGGCGGGAGACGCCAGCATTGTGAGGCGAGGCGGGGTTGCAGGTGGGTGGCCAGTCCTTCAGCCAGTCCCCAGGACCCTTGTCTTCTGCCCTCAGGCCAGTCCAGGGCTACACAGGATGGGGCCACTGGTGCCCTCAGCCCCTCCTGCCCTCTGGGTCCTAGGGTGCCTCACCCTGCTCCTCTGGCTGTGGGTGCTGTGCACAGCCTGCCACAGGTATGTCCCTCCCTTGCCTGGGTTCCATGTGGAACCTGTTTCAGTGCTGTGGCCAGAGGGGGTGGGGCTCCAGGCAGGTCCCCCTTCACCAGAGGCTGATACCCCTGCACCTCTACTCTGCTTCCCTGGCCTGACGACCCTTTTGCCCCCAGGAAGCAGGCTCGGAGGCAGCCAGCAGGGCTGCAGGGTACCATGATGCCAGCGGAAATGGTGAGTGCCAGGCTGTCCCTGGGGCCAGGTCGGGGCCAGCGGGGACCGACCTGCCTTCCTTGCCCCCAGTCACTGCTGAGACAGCCCCCCCTCTGCATCCTCAGCAAGTCAGACACCAGACTGCATGAGCTGCACCAGGGCCCGCTCCACCGCACAGGTGAGCCCAAGGGAGCAGCCAGGTTGTGGGTGGGGCTTGCTGTACCACACCTTCTAACCTGCTGGGGTCAGACTCCACCCCTCCACCCCAACTGACCTCTGCCCTGACCTCACTCCCAGCCCCTCGGCCTGCCAGCATGGATCTCCTGCGCCTACAATGTCTGGAGGTGTCTAGAGACACCACCAGGCCCCCAGCCGCCTTCTCACACCGGGATCTGCCCCAGACCTCACCTACTACTGCTGCTGCCCAGCCCTCCACGGGCCCTGAGGCCACCTATTCCAATGTGGGGCTGGCAGCCATCCCCAGGGCCAGCCTGGCAGCCAGCCCCATGGTGTGGGCAGGGGCAGGGCTGACCAGCAGCTGTGCCGGAGACGAGCCTGAGGCCAGATCGGTGGTGGCTGAGTATGCTTGTATCCACAAGCTCAAGGGAACAGGTCGGGGTCCCCAAGGCCTGGACCAGGGGAAGGTCCAGGGGACCCCAGCCACTCAGGTAAAGTGGAGGTGGTCGGGTGGGGTGCAGTGGGTGGAGCTGGGTGGATCCTTGGGAGAGTTGATGATGCTGACCCATCCCTGGTGGGCTTCCTCCAGGTGGATATCCTATACTCCAGGATCAGCAAGCCCAAAAGGAGGGACCCAGGATCTGCCCTAGGCCAGCCGGACCCCAAAGGCAGGGTGGCAATTCTGACTCGGGGGAGGAATCTGGACTACGAGGCCCTCCCACTCAGGGGCCTGAGTACCCACAGCGACCTAGAAAACGTGTATGAGAGCATCCAGGAGATGGGGGCTCAAGCCGGCAGCCTGCAGCTCAAGCTAACAGATCAGACATGAAGGCCTCCTGCTTCTCCGGCCTCAGCCTGTGGGGCTCAGCCACACAGGGGTCTCCAACCCCTCCCTGCCCTAGCACCCAAGTACAGCTGTTTCTTCTTCCAGCGTCCCTCTTCCCTCACGGTCCCCCGCAGAGGGCAGCCTGAGAGCTTCTGGGGTCCTGGCTGCCCTGGCCTCTCCTGCCAGCGTCTTAATAAATGCCCAGCGCAGAGAGGATGAACGCCGCGAGCCTCACAGCCTGCTCTTCTTCAAAGCCCGGGAGGGTTGTTTGGAAGGAATCAAAGCATCCCCTTACCTCAGGGACAGGCTGCCTCCTCCTGGGGTGCCTGGGCCCTGTCACCCTGGCCCGCAGACAGTGTGGGGAGAGAGACCAGATTAGGGGTGGTGTCGCCAGGCCAGGTTGGTTCTAGAGGGGGGTGTAGCCGGCCGGCAGGGTGGCTGCCCCAAGGTCGGACTGGACACCGACACCGAGGGCGGGCTCGGGCCACCCAGCCCTGGGGCTCCATGAGGGTGAGAGAGGCGGACCATCGTGCGTTAAAGAATAACCGGCTCCAGGGAACCCAGCCAAAGAGACGTGGCCCCTTTCCGGATCTGGCAGCTCTGCGCTCGGGCACCCCACAAGGAAGCCGGCCCTCG